AATCCTAAAGGTATTCTAAATCCCACAAACCTGGCAATTAAGGAAGAGGAAATGATTTTTTAAGTCCATCTGCTTTTCTTTTTTTTTGAACAGTACCTGAAAAGAGTCTATCTGCTTTGAGTAAGGGACAAAAGGGGAGCGGAGAAGATATCATTTTACTTTTACCCAATTAAACTAACACGTTAAGTTAATGTTTTAATTTAATTGGAGGAAATTACTTTTCTTTCTTCTCTCTCTTCCATCTCTTTCAAAGTAAAGTCTCTTAAATTATTAACTAGGAACATTAATATTTGAATATTACTAAAATATTATTTATCTAAATCATTTTCCAAGCTAATGGACACTTTAAATTATTCGTTTTCCCTGTATTATATTTTTCAATTATATATTTGCCAATATGATGACTCTAGTTTAGGGAATTTTGATTAATCGTAAAGAGTGTCAACTCGTAGGTGGCAATCTCTTTTTCATAAAATAAAAAATTTCAAATTTAAGTTACATAATATATAGTGATGAAATAAACTAAAAGATGGTTTAAATTATATAATGTGTAACACTTTTTTATTTTCAAATTGTGCATTAAAAAGTATTTTGACTAATAAATATGTGGATGGTCTATAATCAAATATATATATATATATATATATATATACACGAACATGTAAGAAAATTGATTATTAAGCAATAAGAAATTATTGAGTTTTGATATATGAATTTATTATCAATACAGAATTGAGGGTATCCTCTTTAGAATTTTTTTAATAAAAATTTTAGGTTACATAATCAAAGATTACTTTTTGTTTGTTTATTATGGTGTTTTAAAGATAGTGGTTAATGATTTTATTCAAACTATTAAGAATAGTTGTTTAATAAATTTGTATATTTGAAAATCATTACGAACAAGATATTTTGTAAAAATTTTTATTAAACACTTTGAGAATAATGAATAAAGTAATTAAGATTCAAACTGTTAGTGGATTGAAAAAATTAGCTTAGATAACATTTATACCAAAATAGATTTGAATTTTTTAATTTTATTAACAAATTAATCCTTTTTAAT